GTGTTTAGTCATAACCAAATTCCTCCAGAATTGCAATATTTTGTAATGTTTGTGGAGTATTAGCAAGAATTAGTGTCGTCAGCATACATTATTACATGTACTGTACCTCAACTTGAACAGAGAGAAATCCCAAGTAAGTCAGATTTATTATGTTGCACTATCAAACCATTAACATACAAATTGATAAGCAGTGGGTTCAGAATCTCACCCTGTAAAACTCCAATATAAATATCAAATAAATCAGTCGTTTTGGCTAGTATCTTTACTCTCGCAGAAGCTTTAGAGCAGGGGTGGCCAACACGAGGCCCGCGGGCCGCATGCGGCTCGTCGGGAGTCATGTTGCGGCCCGCGGAGCTAGGTCAAATGAACGTAAATGTTAACTTTATTGTACATGTTACCAAAAGAACATTACGTCATGAGTTATTCATATCATGTATTTTTAAATTATAGCTAAGAGAAATTTGAAATATCTCTCATTTTTGGAAAAATTCATAAATTTTTAGCTATTTCAAATATCCCACTATATATGTTCTTTGGTCTTCGGCGTTTTCGGGAAGCTTGCAATGCTATCGGGTTCATACTCATAACTACTTTCAGTCCAGCTTGACAAAGTTCCGTGTTATTCTGTAGTTTCGTTTTATTATCGCTAATGCATCTGGAGAGATTTTGCAATCGACGTTAAAATACATATTTAACATATTTATAATTACAGGTACAGTTCAAACTACTTTAACCAAGTAGTCTGTCTACCATATCCATTCTATAAGTAAGTAAACCCTAAAACGTTGGAGAAATTCCATCAAGTTGGTTTGGAAAGAGTTCTATGAAACGTATTTGGACAAGAATAAATATCCTGCGTTTTACAAACATGCTCTGTCGATGGTTTCGCTATTTGGTAACACTTATGCGTGTGAACAACTTTTTAGTCGCATGAAGTACATCAAATCACAATTGAGATCACGAATTACTGATGTTCATTTGAAAAACTGTTTGCGTGTAGCGACATCATCAGTGGAGATCAATTTTGATGCGCTTAGTTCTGTAAAACAAAGTCAGATGTCTCACTTTTAAATATTTATAAATTGCCTAATAAATATGTTTGATTCTCGGTTATGTTTTATTTTCTTCAAAAAAATAAATATACCTATTTTTTGTGTTTTTTACATTAAACCAGGCAAGTGTTTGACCACGATCTCACCTACTGGGAAGCGATGATGTGGTTGAAGTTGTAGCACGCTTGCTTGTTTACTTTAATAAAAAAAAATTAGGTGCGTGGCCCGGCAGGAAATATTATTCCTGAAATTGGCCCGCCTTCTGAAAAGGTTGGCCACCCCTGCTTTAGAGTATGTCTCATTATAAGACCAAGAAACTGTTTATCCATGTCGTTCTTTCATAATATTTTAAGAAGGTACGAAGAACGTGGAGATGAAAGTTTCAAACCACTGTCCAGCCGAACATCTAAGACGATGACTGACTAAATCAGGCATGGCCAACATACGGCCCGTCTAATGAATTTATGTGGCCCGCAATCAATCTTTCAATATTAATTACTCAAGTCCGAATAGCTCGATGAAAAATTCTGGCGCCTAAAAGAAAACGTCAACAACTCACTGTGCGTTTAGAGTTGACCCTCCATTACAAATCTCGTAAGTACAGCGTAGAATGTTGATAGTGCATGATAATGTGAAAAATGTATCTGTAATCTCTATCTACAATTTAGTCTCTACGGGGTGACACCACAATGAGATCGCGCACCACCTCAAAATCTTCCTAGGGCAGCCTCTGGTTCGATCCGTGGAAAAAGTTTTCTTTCCAATTCGGTCCGGGGGCAAAAACTGTTGGCCACCCCTGGACTAATTGAAGGACAAGGTCAGTACGCTTTTCAAGTCGAAGCCCAATACTTCGCTCACCACGGCAGTTGAAAACCTAAAGCTGGCCCTATCGACTCTAATTGCCATTAAAGTTGGGCATAAAAGCCCAACTTCTCAACTTTAATGGCAGTATCAACTTCTCAACTTTAATGGCAGTAAAAAGACGGTCTCCACAGCGCCGAAGTACTCAGGGAATCGGAAACTGCTCGCGAAAAATTCTTGAAAAAATTTCGGGAAAAGCTAAAGTTCATTTTTATTGAAGATGACACCTATGTGCTTCAAGATCCCACCAACATTCCAGAACGCCATTTCTACTATGCCTTGATTGCAGATGTGTCCTAGGAAGACATCAAATTTAAGGGCAAAGCAAAATTTCCAAATAAATGGATTGTGTGGCAATATTTAGACACTTTTGGAAACGTTTTGGAACCTTTCATTTCCGAGAGAACTATAAAGTTGTAGATCTTTCTTTAAAGAGAGGTTTGTAATTGACGCCTCAAACAGTTCTTTTTCAGTAATTTAGATGTCTTGATATAGCAACACCGAAAATGTTTGATGTGAAAAAAGAAGTCAGTTTAAAAAATAGCAAGATTGTGTCCACTTTCTCTCACCTTGTAGAATTAGTAGATGCTCAGAAGAAACAATCGTAGAATTAGTTCTAAAAAGAAGTAAAGAATACACATATAATATAAAAATTATCTAAACTTGAAACAGATAACGTCTCAGTCAGGTTTGTATTAATAACAATACGTACACAAAGCTAAAGAATGAAAGTAAGTTGGAACATTTGACTTTCGTTACATATGTTTCTTTCACTTCAATTGGCCATATCACGTGCAACAGAAGATTCAATTGGAGTCGGAGAATTTAAAATTTTTTGCCAAATTTCGAAATTTTTCAATTGTTTATTTTACTAACGGTCTGTTATTTAAACATTTTAAAGCATTATTGCATAGTTTAACAGTAAATATGAGGATTAAAAAACAGTTCTGTAATTCTAATAGTTATTTTGCATAATCATTATGTTGTCAATTTAAGTAATAACAAAAATTAAAATACGTTTTTTTTTTAGTATATTTATCTTGAATTTATTTCGTATTTTTGATAAAAGATGGCGCCATTGTAATTCTAGTCGTGTAATTTTTATTTATTAAAGCACCCTTATTAATATTCTTGTAATTTATAAAATCTTCAATTAGTTGGTTAATTAATTAAAATAAAAGCGATTTTAACGTATGGAAAGTTTGGAATTTAAAAGCCGCTGGACTTTTTTAATGCAAGAAGTTTAGTATTATAGCCCAGTAGCCTACAGCGTTTATGCAGAAAATGTAAGACATTCGTTCATGTTTCAATCTTGCAAAACAATAAATTTACGTAATTCTTGATATGTATACAGTTACCTAAACAGAGCCTTTTTATTTATAATATTTTTAAAACACATTTCGATATATTATCCATACATAATACTACTTGTTTGTAAAAAGAAAACCAGGAAAGTTCTCATTTCCCTTACAAAAAGAGAGTTTTCCTTATCTACAAATTAAAAATGGAACTAATATTTAAATTGTTACCTAAAGACATCGATAAAGAATGCAGTTAATTCCGCAAATTAATTGCAAAAATGCGGAATTAATTTTGTAATATAACATCGACTAAAATTAAATATAAATATGAATGAATGACGATTATAAAACATCAAATATCCAAGTTTAATTCTAATATAATAATTTATTTAATTAATTTATAGTTTTTTTTCATGCCGAAAAATTCTGTAAAGATAAAATTATTCCATATTTGTTATCACTGTCAGAAATTAACGTTATGAATAATTGTTTATATTGTCATTAACACACAAAAACCTGAAAATAAAAAGAAAGTAAAATAAATCTACGAATAATTCAATTGTAATTAATGTTATTTCAAATTATAATTTCAAGACTACCCTTTTTTTTTTTTTTTTTGTACAGAATGACGATTTCTCTATAACAAAAGCTAAAAATTACGTCAATGGAGATAGACTAAATAAACAAGGAAGTGCGAAAACATGGATGTCGACATCGTTCAATACACGGATGCTTCCTATTACAAATAAAAACAGCTGCTGCGACTATTGCTACTTATGAAAATAGCAGATAAATAAATAAATAAACTGAGGCGGAAAAGATTTTTTAGTACTTCTAATATTTATTAAAGTGCTTAAATAAATTCATTTGTAGTACAGGATACGTTGAAAAAAATATATATTACGAACAGCCCATGAGAATAATGAAATCGTTATTTCGCAATTTCCCGCATCAAATATAAATGTTAAAATAAATATTGCAGATTATAACTGAATTAGGGCACGTATCCAATAATATTTGCAGAAGTTCATTTTTCTTAGGGGGGGAAAATCTGAAGTTAAGAAGTGAAAACGGTTAATGTATTCATTTCCTATGTAGGGTAGGTCTAGCTAGCTGTTATAGTGTAGTCGGAGTCACTGAACGTTCAACCAAAATACCAGAAATATGATCACCATAGCAACCGGAAAACATATCACGCAGTTTGTCTGCTTCAAATCTTCATTAACAACATCACTAAACGATTCAGCGAAGTAACTGTAGCAATTTTTGTCCTCGTTATATTCTGAAAATTATTTTCTATCGTTTTACGTCACACTCGCATTCATTATTTTAAAAATTATCTTTCGAAATAATATTCAATTAAAAACTCGTCGTAGTTTAATTACGCAAGGAAATAAATTTAAGCATTAAATTATTATTATTTTTTTTATAAAAAGAAAAGTTATTGACTTTAGTCATTTTTAAATGTTTTAATATCTGATCAAAAGAGTGCTTATTTTACGTGTAGTCACGCTATAATCAAAAATAAACGGGTCGATGGAGTATCGTGACTAGTTTCAGATGCATCAAGATAGTTTCAGTGACGTCAAGTTTCTAATTTAGTCTTCTCGAATGGTCTTGGTACTTTCGTTATTTTTTAAGCTTTTAATACGAATATTAAATTAGTATGACCATTATTAAAAACTGTATATTACACGACGCAAAACTTTATTTATTTTCTCTCTCTCTCTATAATATAAAAAAATAATAAATAATAGAAACTTTAAACTTTTTCTTGAAAATTTAGTAAAACAGCAACATCGAAATGAAGTATTTTCTTAAAAAATAAATAGGCCTACCTTTTTTTTATAAGTACAAAATCCGTAATATTCGATCGAAATTCAGACTATTTTTGAAATTTTTATTTTTTTACGCATTATTTACAATACAGGAAATTGGCATTGGTACAAGTTTTGTTATTCTGTCGGTAAAACAGTTTTTCAAAACAATCTAGACAACCGGCAATAACGACGTAAACAAAACTAACTGGATATTCCTTCTTATAAACAATTGTAATTTCCGAAGAGGTGGGCTAACGTTAACGGGAAGTGTGGCTACGTAGCGATGACCTCTTTTGTGACCGTTTTTTGTTCAAATCGAAAACAATTCTTGGGATATTTTACTAAAAATCTCTCAAAAGATCTCGGGTACTTTATTTAACCCGTTATTTCTCTGAAAGATTTTATTTCCTGTATAATTTCTCCCCATTTTAAGTGTTTGTCAAAATAAAAATTATCAAATTTCACTTACCTAAATAGTTTCTTTCAGCAATAGATGTGATTTAAAACGTATATATTTTCAATGATTTCTATTTAATGGCAGAAGTGTATTTGGTCACAAAGACAGTGTTGATCGAAGAAGATACTAGTAATTTTCATCAACTGTAGTGCTTATCGTTCCATTACTAAATACAAGAATACAGAAAATTAAATAAATTTTGATTTCCTTTATATATAACTTTAAAAGCATGTTTATTATTATAACCAAGTCAATAAAACTGTTCCAATAGACCTATTTTTATTTTAAAAAATCATATTCTTCTTTAATTATCCCAAAGATTTAAAAATATTTCAAAGAATTCAGAAAGTATCTGGAAAAATTTAAACATAATTTAATAAACAAATTTATTTACAAAAAAAATCACATCTTCAAGTATTAATTAAGTTCTAATTAATATATTTTCTATAAACTAAAACAAGTGTAAAGTTTAGTTGAAAATTTCATCGCAAAATTAAATGGTAAAAAAAAATTAGTTAATTGTTTACATATTAAGTAAAGTAAACTAACTTGTAAATATTTTAATAAATCAGTGAGATGAAAATATCTTCTCGATACGGTTTCTGTGGAAAACCTCGATATACAAATTTTAAGGAAAATAGATGAATCAATCAATCAATCAAAGCCAGAAACTTCACCATTATTAATAGATATATTTTACATTAAAAATCACTTTTAGGATAAAAATTTCTCTTAACAGATGAAAAACTTTCCTGGCAATAAAATGATTTTTAAGATAGGATAATGATTTACTAAGTTTAAAAATCATTTTTTGATTTATTTCTAATTCTTAAAATATTCGATTACGTGTTTTGATGACTTTTAAGGTTTTTGAACCTGGCCTGCACGTCAGATATAAAATATTTTGTAGTTGTAGGCATTTTTTCTAATGTTTCTGCAATTAGAAAAATTTTATAGATATTGATACTTTCAGCATTAAGTAGTGGGAGTAGCTGATATATTAACACATTTAGCATTTGTTTCTTGTTACTATCGCTATATTGACTAATTTTTGCATTCAAAATAAATATAGACTTATAGAAAAAATTGAAAAACTGTCGACAAATTTAAAAAAATAATTGTAAAAATTACATTAGAATTTTTAAATTTTTGTATACAGAATTCTGAATATACAGTATATATTTAATATAATCGATTTTATAAGTGAAAATTATATGGCAGAAGAGAACGAGCAAATTTTGCGTTACTTAATATTATTAAAACAAAGATATTCTACACGCTTTATCATCTTTCGAGTTTAAAAAATAGTCAAGAATTTTAATTAAGCTGTTTTGTACTTCACCTGTTTTAACAATAATATCTCGCTTAAAAATTTCTCTCTTTCACTCTAAGAAAATCAATAATTCAAAAGATTTATAAAATAAATATAATTCTCCTTCCTTTACATAAAAACATGCGAATATTAACAGCCGTTAAGTATTATACTTGCAAACTGCTTTCAAATAGAATATTTTATGTATAACTACACATTTTATAGTTCGAAATTTTTAAAAATGTTCTTAAATGTATATAAGACAATTTATAATCCATTTATTTTTGTATATAATTAGAATAATTTAATTATAATTCATGCAAATATTGTAAAGTTGTATTGGTTTATACTGTATTCGGTCACGAAACACGCAATTGTCTCTCCATATGTTAAATTAACTATTTTCTCTAAAATAAACTTTCATCTTGAATATAATGCTACATATTAGAATAAAATATTTATTCATATAAATTTAATTAACAATAATCTAGTCTAAATGTACAAATGTCATTATTAAACTATAAGTTACAGTAGTACAGTAAATATTAAATAATCTAACATTCGAATGTAATTTTACATCTTTGATATTTCTAAAGAAGAGAAAAAACAATTAAAACAGAATGCAATTGATAAATAACTTTTTAATATACAAAAAAACTGTATGAGCATATAATTAATTTATTAGAAATTATGTAATATTTACTGATAACCGGGATATATTATTAGATAGCCTAGAAAATAATTTACGGTTAAACATAACTAAATTATATCAAGCTACGTATTATGTAAGACCGGTATAAAATCAAAAAATTATCAAAATCTTTGATCAAAGATTATTCATATCCCATGTTACCTTTAAATTATTTTTATTACTTTGTTACAACTGACCTATAAGCTTTTCGTTAGAAATGATCACTAAAGCGTTATCATGTCAAGGTTTCATCTATCAATGAATTATGCTTCAGTAATGAATTTTTTTTTAAAATTTAAACTTCAGTTTATTCAAATTACATCTTTCTAATCTACGTATTTCGAGATTCAAAAGAAAAAAACTTACAATTTGAATCGCTCCGTTTGGAGATTTACTTAAAAGGTCTCTATGCTGAGTTAATAAAGAAATATCGATAGGATAAACTGGAGAAATATCTCAAGAGCATCGTTTTTCAAGTGCCAGCAATAAGTTTCGAGTTCTGGAATTCAAACAGAGTGTTGTGTTATCTAGTTTAGATATCTCCATCTACATTAGTTATTAATGACTTAAGTATTTATGTAAACTTAACGATTCTAACATATTTGCCATATATTTAAAACGACAATTTAGATAACATTTTTAATATTTATAAACGAGACTTAAATTTCAATTAGCGCTTTATTTATTATATTAGAAAATTCATTAAAAAAGAAATCAAAGCAGAGCGCATCTATTTTAATCTTAAAAGATATGCTTAATATCAATTGCTAAAGAAATACATAGAAGTTCTTATTTTAATGATTATCAAGAATTTCAAAAATAATATATACAGTATTACATTCATTCACTATATTTTTTCTATAGTAATTTACAATTCTTGATATATACCCAGTGATTTTTTTATAGTTTGAAAATAGGTCTAACCAAAGTAATTTATTTTTCTGTAATAAATGATCTAAATATAGGCTAAATGATTTAAATCGTTTTTATATGAGAATTTTTCTGAATGTAATTAATATTTTGCTTATACATAAAGATATGTTTTTATATTTTAAACAGGATATGCTTACTAGAAGCTATTAATCTACTCTATTAAATAGAGAATAATGTATAAATATATTAAAAATAACTCATTTCAAATTGATTAAATAACGTTATTTTTAGTAATGGTTATCAAAATGTTTTCGAATATATATTCTAAAGAATAAAATGAGTTTACAGTTCAATAAATAAACTCAGAAATTTAATGATTCAGAGAACATAATATAAAATATATTTTTATCGGATAAGCATCATCTGAATATATTTATTTAAATTTATCTTTCTTCTTTTCAAATAATTAATTATTGTTTGCTGGGGAAAGGCTTATATTGCTTAAATGCATCGCCTTTCTAATACTTTGTAAATATTATTTATCTTCTCGACAAAAACATTCAAATTTTAGAAAATAAAATATTTACTACTGTAAAATTTATTTATAATTTTGAATCAGGCTAAATTATTTTTAAAGTTCAATGAGGGGAAACCTTTTTTTAAGCAGAAGCCACAAAATTCGATTTAATTAAACAAACTATTTCGGATAATACGGTGTACAACTTTAATCAGAAGACTCTAAAGATCATACAATTTAAGTATATTTGTTGCAATTAAATATGAACTGAAAAAGTGAAAAATATAATGAAATTAAATAGTAATTTAACTTTTCAAATTAAAGCAATCTCAGGCATTGCCTTATTGAAAATGCAACTGCAATATTGAAAGTGCAATATCCGCGCAGCGTATTGACATATGCCACTGCTCTCGAACATCGATGTTTTTATGTAGTTTGTGAGATAATACTTTTTATTAGTTGCGTGATTCAGTTATTTCGTTATACCTGAATGCGATTCGTAATATTTTATAACATAAAATTTCAAAAACTTTTATAAAAAATATATACTTTATCACTTCGAAACATTTTATATAATGTTTTTCTGTAAAAACGCATATCAATTTAGTCTTTTCTTTTTGAAAAAGTAATTAAAATTTTTTCTAAATATGCTTGCAATTAAATAAAATTATATTTTAAATATATTAATATTCTCACTTTAAGTAAGCATTTAAAAAGCAATTTATTCCAGTAAACAAGAAAACATAACTCAAAATTTATTGTATACAAAATAACATTCCCGTAATATTTTTCTGTTTTAAATTAATGCAACACCGCAATTCTTTGCTACGCTGTGGTAATTAGTAAGAATCTTTACTTCTGAGTTAATAAACTTTTGCTACAGTGAATGTCTGTTATCTCAGAACTACAGAGTTGCTGCAAAGTCCCTATTCATGAGACTGTTCTGGATTAATTATTATTATTATTTTTTCTTTCTTTCTTTTTCGTAGGGCTTCAGTGTAATGGACATTAGTGACTATACGATAGATACGAGATTGATTGATTACTTATATTTGGGTTCACAATTGCCCTAATTCATTCTGGGACATTGTTAAAAAGAAAATTTAACTCTTCCTTATAATAGTAAAAAACATTAAAAAGTTAGGACCTTTTGAATGATTTCCAACCGTCAACATGGAAGAAATCCAAAAGAATGTAAAGAAAAATTAAAATTTCTGTAGAGAACGAAGAGGAGCATACAGATAACTTCTAACATGTGTACAAATTCTCACTAAAAATTGACAAGCATAAATACAATAGCGTAACCAGAGAGAAACCAGGAATATCGTGCCTCCTACCTTTGTAAATAAATGAAAAAAAAAATCAAATGAGTAAAGAAAAAATATTTGAATATGATAAATGCACTTATAAACATGTATATATAATATTTAAGAGTTTACTCTTTATCCAATGGTACAGAGGTACAGACGGGAACGTAAAACGTACGTTTGCACGTTCAACTCGGACCCCCTAATGTTCGGTTCTAGTCAAGCTACTGCATAAGTTATGTGGGATTCGAACCCGAAGTTATGAGAGCATGAAGGATTGTATAATATGTTCTGCAGCAAAAATCTTTTTATTTCATTTTTATTACTTTTTAATCAATTGTAAGTCGCGTAATAAATATAAATATGAATTTATATATTTAATTAACGAATAGAAATGTACAATATAAAGAAATTTTTTAAAATGTTTATAAAAATTTTACTTTCTCATTTAATACAAAAATAATATATTTAATACTTTCTACAATAAATTCATTTTAATTTAATCTTAAACGATAAGTTTAATAGGAAAGTTTAAGATGTTATTTTAAAATTATCCAATAAACGATCACGTAATAAATTTAAGTATAAATATGAATTTATATCTTTAATTAACGTTTAAAAATTTACAGTCTAAAGTAATATTATTAAAAGTAGTGGAGAGTAGAGTAATAACTCTTAGAGAATTAACTCGGATCGGCTCAGCATGAGTGACGTTTAACATGTGAAGTGAAGCACGTGGTCACTCTCCGAGAGTACATTCACAGCAAGATTTCGATTTAAATAATCGATAAAGTATTATTTAATATTACGCAAGACAGATACTTTCAGTTAAGTATCATTAAAATGGCTTATTTCGAATTCGATATGCAAAATTATTTTATTATTTTATTTTATACTCCAGAGGGAGTTTTAAAAAATTAGCACAAGTCCGGATGACGTCACACTTGTGCTAATTTGGTTACATTAAATGCATTTTTATTTAAACATTTTTTTTAAATAAAGAAAGGGTTATGAATCATTTTAAGTTCAAATTAGTTATAAATTGAGCATTTTTCTCGGAATAGAAAGTGATAAAAATAAAATTTACTTTGTTTTCTCATAGATTAAATATATAAATCTATTCTCATCAATAAATATATATTTAAATTTTTATTTTTAGCGTGCGAAGTTTGTATTTTTTTTTAATAAGATGAATTTGTTAAGAGGTTAAAAAATAAAATAAAAAGAAAGATTTAATTATGGAAAATTTTATTATCCTTTAATTATTCAAAAATTTAATGAAGTAATATATTTAACTAACTCTTAATGTTAAAAGAGAAAAATGGCAATTATTCATATCTTTATAAAATTATTCACGTTTATTACAGAAAATAAAATTTGTTCATTTAATAATTAACGTATTAAATTTATGATTTTTCTTAAATGATAAAGCATAAATTTAATATGTTAATTATTTTTTTTTAAATGTATTTTAATTAATTTTTATATTAAGAAAGAAATATAAAAATTTCGATTATTTATGATTAAATTTATTATTTTTCGATATTTATGCTTTAAAAACATGTTAATAATAAGAATAACAACAATAATAAAACATGTCAGCTATTCAATAATATTATAAAAAATTAGTATTAAATATTCATTATTTTAGAAAATAATAACTTTAAATAGTAGAATACTAACATTAATAATACAAAGTAATATTCACTCACATTAATAATACAATGCAATAATATACTACAAACAATATAGTATATTACTATAGTACTAAGGTTAATTAATATGTTAATAATAATACTACATCACAGCACTACTATGCTTTACATGAAATTATTTTACTACAAGAAGTTATTAACAATTACTAGAATTCTAATGTTATTACTGTAACAATTAATGTCAGTATAATGCTGTATTGCATAGTGCAATAAAGTAATATTACAATAAAGGAACATCCTTTAAGGGCGCTGTCCATAAATTGCATAATGAAGATGAGTGTTTATACAGGTATTCGCAGTGGCGCGTTATAATATCTTGGGGCCCAGGCAAATTTGAACTAGGGGCCTCATGTATGCTATTTACTTCAGGCAATTGTCTTCTGGGAAACATTTTTGGGGAAATATTTTCTTATAAAAGATTGGTTTGGGGGCCCCTTTTAGTGAAGACTCCAGGAAATTGCCCTTTTTTCCCATAGAATAACACATCACTGGGTATTCGTTACAATCAGAGACGAGACCTTAGGCAAAATTTATTGTTGAGGAGCATTAAAACAGTGATAGAGATACAGGATAGATTTAGTTAGATCTATAATAATAAACATTTTTATGTAGAAACAAGCAGTAAAATACACAATGAAGTAATAAAAATGTGTACAATAGTTTTACAATGAATTAGAAAATTCAATAGGTGAACAGAAATTCGCCTACAAAACTGCTCTCCTTTTAGCAGCTCTGAGTTCATCAATTATAGAAGAAAAGTCCAGTTCTGCAGCAATGTCCTTTTCAATAGACAAGATTGAAAGTGAAAAGAGTCCCTCTTGACACATTGCTGATTGGTGGTAACTTAGTTCTTGATCAATTTTAACTTTGGAAGTGATCGTTCTGTAGATGCAACCGATACCTATACACAGTACAATTACATTTTCAATAATTACTAATTTCATGATTTAAATACTAAAGTATACTACCAAATTTGGTAGGGTTGCTTCTAGTTACGATGCATTATAAGGAGTGGGGTTCGTGGGGTTCACTATTTGTGTCATAATTTACAAATACGTTACGTAATGCTAGGATTCAATCCTTGAGTAAAAAGTAATTTACTTCTGTTTATGAACTGAACTATTCTGTTTATGTAATTGCTTTGTATGTTATAAGTTACATATGATTAATAAAATAATATAGTGTTCAATATTTTTTTCTCTCCGTGCTTTGTATTATTCCTTAGTACAATTAAGGGATCGATAACATGCGTTACATAATGTTGGGAGGGGGATGTGCGACGGCGTTATGGAGCGTTAAGCCTACAGGGAAGTGAGACGGTAGTTGAAAGTATAAAAAATAGCGTTACATAATATATGGACGATCCTTAATACTACTGTAATACATTATGTACAATACTAATAATAAATGTTACTACAGCACAATATTACTATAATTTGGATCATTGTGTTAACATCATCAATGTTAGTTTACTCAAGGCTAAGGCCGGATTAACTATAGAGTACAAAGTGCACACGCAAAGGGCATCCGCAAAATGTCAGGCTCTAAAAAATAGATAAAATATCAATAGATAAAAGAAAGAAAAAGGAATATATTTTATTTTATTTTTAAAACGCGGTTTTACGGGAAGTGAGCGGGTTCATATTTTAAATTGCATGAACAGGGAACATTTTCTTCATAATCTGACTGCTGAAGACCGTGCACATGGGAAATATTTTGTGATTTAACCACATCCTATTTGGCAATTCAAACAGAAAAAAAAATATTATGCTAATGAAGCAGCATATTATATAGAAATTACATTTATTTTGTATCCGTTCATTTCCTTCTTAGTCTATTATATTGTGTTATTCTATATTGTAAAAACTAATAAACTGTTATAAAAAATGGTATTTTTATAAAACTATATTTTTAATCCTGCTCATAAACCTACTAACACTAATATTAATAATGTTAGTATTGTCTTACATTAATATTAATCTATTAACATTATACCCAATATTTTAATATTATCGTATAAATAATATTGAAATTAATCATTATTATAAAAATTAAAGGAGGATAGTGGATGAATAATTGTTCGAAATAAACATATTTAATTACTCAGAACTCCGAAAAAGAAGAAAAATACAGTATTTAAATCAGACGAACGGAAATCTTTAAAACACGTTAATTATTCATAACAAAACATGTACCTTTTATGCAAAATATTGTGTAATGGGTTATAACCTACTGTGTGTTCAGGAAGTAACTTTCTCACGTAGATTAAAATTATTTTTGTTTTATAATTAATATATTATGAGGATTATCTTTTAAAAAAAATCGTAAATTATCAAAATATGTAAATTAGCTCAATCGATATAGGAAATTAACATGTAACAAAAGATAATGAAATACATTTCTTTGTAACGTTACATGTTATTCCCATTAGACCGATTTCTTCATCAGAAAAAGAATTTTAAAAAATGAAAAGATAAATTCTGCGATAAATCCGAACTTAGCATTAACTTAAATGGACGTAACATTTTTTAAGGCATTACTAAAGAAATTTAAATACATTATTGTGCTAATTTGCATATTTATAAGCTTGTTTTTTTGTTTGTTTGTTTTAAAATCTCGTAGTTTGTTAATTATACGTTAAAGATATCAAGCTTAACCAAGCTACAATATCAAAACTGTATATTTTTTACATATCTTTCTGTATATAGGCCTATATATATATATTGAGATTTTTGACTCTCCGTTATATGGGAAATAAGAGGACCTTATAATCCCATCATGGATTCCGCCAACGCACGTTGGCATTCTAGGTATTGTACGTGAGGCACACAACTAGAGGCCGCGAGTCTCAGGAGCCCCGAAATTGAAAAAAAAATATATATATATATATAAAGCATTTTTTACCATTGCAATTGTATATTATAATTTATAAATATTTCTGTAGCTGCAATTAGACGTTATTAGTTTATGATGTAAAATTATGTGCAGGGGCCCGCAATCTTCTGCGCCTAAGGTCTTGGAAGATCTTAATTTACCTCTGATANTGAGACACATGCCTAGGTACATTACACCTGGTCTAGGGTCTCGAAATTGGAAAAACAATTTTATCATTGCAATTGTATATTATAATTTATAAATATTTCTGTAGCTGCAATTAGACGTTATTAGTTTATGATGTAAAATTATGTGCAGGGGCCCGCAATCTTCTGCGCCTAAGGTCTTGGAAGATCTTAATTTACCTCTGATATAGTACAATAGTTATATTGTTTATATATTGTATAAAATTTGTATATTCTTTACATATGAATTATATATGCCTACATATTTTGTACATTCCTTCCTAATGCATGAAAGCTATAGTTTAAAAATTGTACATTCTTTAGAAACAACACAAGTCAATTATTCAAAACAAACGTTAATTATAAAAAATAGGAAGAAAACTAAAATTTAAATTATTCAAAAAACGACATTTTATTATTTAGAATTTTAAATAAACAAAAATCTTGTATTTAAATATTAAAAGCCTCAAAGAAAAAAGAGAGAAGAGGCACACTTTTTAAATATTCTATCCGTTTTAATTTGCTAAAATTCCAGACATTTAACTTATTTAGTAAAATCTATATCGATTCGTTTTCCATTACGGAGATAAATTAATGTTGTTTACATACTTAAATCTCTATCTACCATTTAAAAAAATAAAGAAGTGCATATGTGATGATAAATGCAAATAAAACATTTTATTTTGAAGATTTCTATGCATTAAATATAACAGGAATTATAAACTTTTCCAAATAATAAAGCGTCATCTTACACATACACATATTTTTTATTTTAAGTAATTTATTTATTAATAATAATTCTTGGTTCAATGAACTTTTCTCTCATTTATTATTTAGCAGCAAACATGTGCTCATGTCCAAAAATCTCTTAAAATAAATATTTGATTTGAATTATGTAATAATAAATTTTATATGCGGATTTAAATATATTCACCGCGTTATATAAAAATAAGTTTAAAAAAAATAAAGAAAATTTAGTGATTTAAGTAATTATTTTTTAATTAATATATTTTTAATTTTAGATTTAACTTTAGGAGATTACTTCATCTGTTGGCTGAATATCTTTTCATATTTTAAATGCTTTTTATCATTCCAAAAATCTTAATTTATTATTTGTCTAGAGTAACACCAATAGTTTAAAAAAAATACAATTTTTATATAATAAAATCTATTCTGCTGTTGTTGTTATTACGTGATTCTCTAGGTGATTTAAGCCAATTTTTATGTATTAATTCCTATGAGAGATGAATAAACTTTACATTATTTCTAGCATAACAAAATCGATATATATATATATATATGTATTTCTAGAACAACTTCAGACAAAATTTATTGTTTGGCCTGTAGCTGATATATTGTATTTTATAAATAAAAATTTCGAATTGAAGTTATTAAAATTTGATTACGATCGCGTTAAAATTTTCATGCTGTTGCCTCATATATATCAAAAACTTCATTTAAATATGACTTTTATCCATTTATAGAACATCTCTATAGTAGTTTATCGTATAGTGGTCACACCCATATTTCGTCCCTGTACGAAAAAAAAAAAAAAAATGCAGAAAAATCCATGCGGGCAATGAACTTTTTTGAAAAATGATAAACATCTCATCGTGAAATCCTACACGATCGCAATACTAAGACCTACTTTTATCAATGTTTTTTTAATCGCTATGCGTGCTATAAAAATGAATATTATATCAAAATGATGAAGCAATTATAAAGGAAAACTTACTCAACTACTACATCATATTCCGCGTGATACAAGCTTACGTAATTCGAATTTATCACTAGCATTAATATTAATTTTTCCAGTTATCCATAATATCAGTATATAAGAATATATATTTTATTCATAACTGATATAATAGACTGTAATTTAAAAAAAGAACGGTTACTAATAATAGTAAACAAAGGGAAAGGTCGCCTATGAAAAAATTCTATACCTTGTTACGAAATTACCCTTATTTTTGTTTTAATAAAATCGAGGTCAAGTTAGTTCTTTACACATATTCGTTTGTTATGCGAATAGATTAATATAAATGCCATACTTTATCATAGTTAGAGAAAAAAA